GGGCATATACGAGACGTTAGACGTCTTATTGTGGCTATGTCTCGTGCTAGATTGGGTCTTTACGTATTTTGTCGCAGGTCTATATTCGAAAATCGTTATGAATTAGGACCTACATTTAATGAACTTTTGGAACGTTCTGATAAATTACAATTAAAAATTAATGAAAATGTGGCCCCTCAAATAGAAAGGTATATGATCATTTTCATTTGTTTATTATTAATTTGTTTTACATTAAAAATCATTAAATCCTTTCGTTATGTAGTTCGATGATTATAGTGATGTATATGCAATTGCAGATGTTACACATATTGGAAAATACGTATATCAAATGATGCAAGAACAATTAGCTTTTGCAAAAGAGCAAAAGGCTAAAATGGAAACAGCGGAAGCAGAAGAGACGGTATAAGTCACTGCTGGGTTTTATACATGTCTAATGGGGTAGATTGGGCGTTTGTACAGGTAAAAACATTATTATCCGGCCCAAATGGTCTGATTATGTAAATCATGTGATTGTGGATAGTCAATGATGATCTTGAAAGAATACTAATAAAATGATCAGTGATCTTTCCGGCTACAATTGCATTATTCAAATGGTCAATCCTAAATTAAAACTACCCGATCGAAAACAATTAGCTGGTTCAATTCTTTCATCAACAGTAACTGATTTAAATAATGCTTATAAAGAAAAATTATGGCAATGAAATCAAGATGATATTATTTTAGTTATTGATGGTTGGAAAAATATAATTAATCAAGAGTTACTTGAATCAATGCTTGTTTTACCTTTGGGTGAACTTTAGTTTGGAAAGCATGTGACATTAGTGGAGAGCTGTTGATGTAATACCTCATATAGAAAATATGCTAATGAATTAAAAAAGGATAATATTAAGGTTACATATAATTATTTTTATATTATTTTTTTCTTATATTATTAATAAACTAATAATATATTTTTTTAAAGTTGGCGATTACATCTCAAATATACAGATATTGTTTGGCTTCCATAATTTGCGTATCAGTGTTAAAGGTATATTCAAATATTTGCTTAAATTTCAACTAATGCAGTAAAGGTTTTCTATATTTTAATCAGTCAAATAATACATATTTTATCAGTAAATTATGAACTATCCAAAAAGAAATGTATAGTAAATATATTGCTAATATAAAATCAGAAGATATAAGATAGAACTCATTTATGGTTGTTTTAAGAGTTTATTAAAAACAAAGCAGGCTTTACAAGTAAGTTTATTTATAAAATTATTCAATTATTATTTTATAATTATTTATATAGTCCATCTGTTTTAGAAGAAAGTTTTTTATAAAAACAAATTACAACTAAGGAATTGTATTTGTTACAAAGTATTTGTAATATACTTTTTGATGAAATTTAATGATCAAATATTGCAGAATTAACTATATTAATGAAGTCATATTACAGTATATGTAAGCTAATATATAATATAGCAATTTCTTTTGATTTTTTTATTAAATTTAAAAGGGTTATGGTAATCATATTTTTGCTGAAGATAGATTTTATATTTACAAAAGTAGTGGAAAAGTTAAAAGCAATCATTTTATTACTTTTAATTTTATTTTATCTTTCTTATTAAATAAATTAGAAAAAAAAAAGCCAATTAAAATTTTGTTTAAATTTAAATAATATTGAAGTAAAAAATTTTCTTTTGATAATAAAACAATTACTTAATTTGAAAATGATATTTTAAGGTTTGGAATTTTGTTTAAAGAATTAGATATAATTATTACAAAGATTTTAGTATTACTATAATGCAAATGGTCTAAAGCTACTACTTTTTTATTTAGTAGCTAAATTTTTCAAATTATAATCAAATCACGTGAAATGAATTTTAATATATGATCATATAATTTATATTATATATTTATTATATTATCAGCAATCTGTCGATATAACCTATTTTTTTACAGCATATTATACTTCTATACTTATTAATTCTTTTTTATATGCATCCATAAATCTCTAAGATCTACAAGCATAACATCTAATTGTTTCTAAAAAAATTGAATTTAATGCTTCAGAAACTATTTTTTCTAATTCTTTAAAAGAGTAATCACAATTATTATGAACGTAATGTTTAGCAGCATCTCAAAATATTTCAATAAAATTAAGTTCATAATGAAATTTTGGATAAAAAATAACTTTATGCCTACAATCCTCAATAACTTCTTTAAATAATGATCTTTATGTTAAAAATCTGATTGAAGTGAAAGTACTCTAACTGCACAACAATCATCTGCAATTAGAGAATATTTTTTACATTCAAAACAAATACGATTTAATCCTTTTTCTGACCATAAATCACGTTCTTTTAAAATTAAACAAATTCCTTTTGGTTGTCTATTTAGAAGATGCATTAATTATATTGACTCATTAGGCATTATTCCATTTTTAAATTTTCCTTTATCACTTGATTTAAGATTCATTTTTGATATAATTAAAGCATCTTCTGCATATGCAACATGAGATATTACATTATTAAATGCAAATACACTAATTTCATCAAGATGCAGTTTTTCAAAAATTGGAATTGCCTTTTGGTAATTTAATTATAAAATAAGTATCAATTAGTAATTTTAAAATAATAAATAAAAATAAAATAAAAATAAAATAAATATTTACTTGTGTAATTAAATTTTCAGTTTTTCACCAATCACGATTAATATCTAGTTTCATTATAATACATGCTTTATCTTGTTTAAATTTTAATCGACTATTAACTTCTGTTAAAAAATCACTAACATGTAAACTTAAACCTGATCCTTTTTTATGAAGAAATTGATGTTCAGCAGGTCTTTAAAAGGTTTTTTTACCATCATTAGTATAAAATATTGATTCAT